AATGGAGACCAAAGCTCTGATACCACTTGTAGGACCTTGAAGTATGTCTAGAGGGGGTGATTAGACTACTTGACCAATTAAAATCTTAACCTTTTCCCAATTTTAGAGTTTGGCAGATTTTAGCTATTTAGGACAAGTCAAGCAATCATCACACTATTCAAGCAAGCATGCAAAGAGTATATAGGCAGCGGAAATTAAAGCATGCAACTTGCAAGAAAGTAAAGGGAAGGGTTTAGAGGATTCAAACGCAATTGGAGACACGGATGTTTTTGGCGTGGTTCCGATAGGTGGTGCTATCGTACATCCACGTTGATGGAGACTTCAACCCACGAAGGGTAACGGTTGCGCGAGTCCACGGAGGGCTCCACCCACGAAGGGTCCACAAAGAAGCAACCTTGTCTATCCCACCATGGCCGTCGCCCACGAAGGACTTGCCTCACTAGCGGTAGATCTTCACGAAGTAGGCGATCTCCTTGCCCTTACAAACTCCTTGGTTCAACTCCACAATCTTGTCGGAGGCTCCCAAGTGACACCTAGCCAATCTAGGAGACACCACTCTCCAAGAAGTAACAAATGGTGCGTTGATGATGAACTCCTTGCTCTTGTGCTTCAAATGATAGTCTCGCCAACACTCAACTCTCTCTCATAGGTTTTGGATCTGGTGGAAAGAAGATTTGAGTGGAAAGCAACTTGGGGAAGGCTAGAGATCAAGATTCATATGGTAGGAATGGAATATCTTGGCCTCACCACATGAGTAGGTAGTTCTCTCTCAGAAATGGTAAGTTGGAAGTGTAGGTTCGTTCTGAGGGCTCTCTCCACGAATGAAGAGGAGGTGAAGGGGTATATATAGCCTCCACACAAAATCTAACCGTTACACACAATTTACCAAACTCGGTGGGACCGATTCAACAGACTCGGTCGGACCGATTTAGCAAACCTAGTGACCGTTAGGATTTTCGGTGGGACTGACATGCATCTCGGTGAGACCGATTCGGTTAGGGTTAGGGCATAACGTAATCTCGGTAAGACCGATTACACAAACTCGGTGAGACCGATTTTGGTAATAAGCTTTCCAGAGAGTTGGTCAGGTAAACTCGGTGGGACCGATTTGCTCTTTTCGGTGAGACCGAAATGTTACAAAAAGGAAACGGAGAGTTTACATTGCAATCTCGGTGGGACCGATCGCTCACTTCGGTTAGACCGAAACGTTACGAAGGGAAACAGAGAGATTACAATCCCATCTCGGTGAGACCGAGATCCCTATCGGTAAGACCGATTTGCTTAGGGTTTGTGGCAGTGGCTATGACTTTTGGAATCGGTGGCGCCGGATAGGAAGATTCGGTGTGACCGATTTTGGCTTTGGGTTTAGGTCATTTGTGGATGTGGGAAAGTAGCTGAGGGTTTTGGAGCATATACTAAGCACATGAAGCAAGAGGCTCATTAAGCAACACCTCATCCCTCCTTAATAGTATTGGCTTTTCCTATAGACTCAATGTGATCTTGGATCACTAAAATATAAAATGAAGAGTCTTGAGCTTTTGAGCTTGAGCCAATCCTTTGTCCTTAGTATTTTGAGGGATCCACTTTCATCATCCATGCCATGCCATTCATTGAGCTTTCCTGAAATAATAGTCTTGGAATAGCATTAGCTCAATGAGCTATATGTTGTTATGAATTACCAAAACCACCTAGGGATAGTTGCACTTTCAGGCTGCTTTAAGATGCGTGCGGTGCAAGCCCAACGGTGAAACCAGGCAACCAAACAGGCCTCTTCCTTCTCGCGCGGGCCTGGTTGGGCTCGATGCGGGCAACCAAACACGCCCTAGGTGAATTGCCTAGAAGGTAAAGAAACTTCGCTTCTCGCTTTTTTATTGTCGTCAAAGAGTAGATTGTAATGGAAATTATTATAATGTAGATGAGTGCATTTGAATCATCTCTATGGGATGATTCCTCGTCCGAAGATGAATATGGCATGAACGAAGAGGACATTCTTTCATCTTAATGATGCACAAGATCAAGAGGTTGAAGCATGGTGGTTATGTGGTCGGTCAAGAGGTAATTCGGAGGATGAGGCAAGATGGTCACAATAGATTGATGCTCAACTATTTTGGTCCAAATGTGATGTATCGAGAGCCATACTTTCAACGTCAATTTAGGATGTCTCTGGATTTATTCCTTTGCATTGCCAGCTGTGTGAAGCAATATGATTGGTTCTTCGTGCAAAAAAATTGCGTTGGAGATCTTGGACATAGCACTATCTTGAAGGTGACTGATGCATTGCACATGATGACATACGGTGTTTCAACAGATTTCATTGATGATCACTTGGCAGTGGGAGAGAACACTTTAATCTTGTTTGTCAAGTAGTAATTTGCAAATGCGATGGTTGAAGTGTTCAAGCCATAATATTTGAGAGCACCCAATACTTAGGACACTCAATGACTTCTGGAGATGAACAAAACCCGTAGATTTTCAGGTATGCTTGGCTCCATTGATTGCACATGCCAGCGAAGTCGTCGGCATTTCTCAAGAGGTGCAACAATGGTTAATAAGACACCGTAAAGCAATATCTTATATAATCGCACAACAAATTTTGGCATTTAATATTTGATCTCAATCACCTCTAACTTGGTTCCTCTTGACAACTGTTTCCGCAAGCACTATTGGGTGTATTAAATTAAACATGGGTGGGGCTAGGTCTCAGTCGACCGAGACTTAACCAAGTCTCAGCCAAATGGCGTGTCACATTAATAAGAAAAAGAAAAGGTTAAAAGGAAAAATTTCACATATCTCCATGCAAGATCTTATGAAGATAGCATTGACTGAGACTTGGTTAAGTCTCAGTCGACTGAGATTTAGCAATCCCGATTAAGTATTATGGGTCGAGTATCTCTAATACCAGCTTCTTTAAACAAGCTTTTTCTCGACACCAAAGTCTTTCAAAACAACTAAAAACAGCGGAAAGTCAAGGCTTTGAGAAACAACAGAAAAATGATTAATACTCACCTAATTGCTTAAACTGTGCTTCAACGAACCGGAGCAAGAAGGAAATAAACCGTGCCGTCTTGGTCCGATAAAGAGAAAGGAAACTGCATAGTGTTAACTGAAGAACTGTATCATGATCAGTACTCACCTAATTGCTTTGCTTAAAAGGGATTTTGCTTCAAGTAAAACACACACACATTTTTTGCATCTTGGCACGTTTGGTTATGCTTAAAAGTAGGCTTGGCACCTAAGGATGGTCACACTTGGGGCATATATCTCACACCGGATTACACAACTGGCTCTTCTTTCCACTAGCACCACAATAATTTCAGAAGCAAGCATAAAGGTGGCAAGTTTAATCAAATACGAAAGGCAAGGGGCAATGCATGCACAAACAACAGTATTCGAGGTGATGGGTCCAATACAACTAGGAGCAGATGGTTTGAGGATGAAGACAGAATTGACCAAGAGGGGCCATGGATGTGGCCTACATGGGTTGTTAGGAGCAACTTCCAGCACTAAGCCCTGCTCCTGATTTTGATGATGGAACCAACTAGCCTACTACCCCTCTTTCTAGGAGATGTTTATCCCCCATTTGGTCTCTGGATTGAAGTACCTTGCAAGCAAGATTCCAATGCCTACTTAAGCCACTCAAACCTACACATCCCCCACTTTCACACCACATTCTGCACAGGCATGTGGGCCACACCAGTGTTTTAACTCTGTAATTTAGTTCGTTCTGAGAGCTACTCAAAAAGGCTGATAAACACCACCCGTTTCCAGCAACCAAGATGCTACATTCTGATGGTAAATTTGTTGCCGGAAGAAGTGCTAACCATGATCATTGTTGGAAGTGAACCATCATCACGCTTGTCCATAGAGAGGATTCAGCCTTAAGCAAGTGTGCATGAGCATTGAGCAATGACATGCATGCACATGAAGCTGTAGTAGTTGCCAAATACCAAATGGCTGACAGCTGCGTTGCTCGAGCATATGATGGTCACAAATGATCAGGCTTCCGATTTAACCACCCACCAGCACGAGCATGACGGAATCATTGCCCCGCCGCGAAACCCCTCAGATGCTACTGACAAAACTGAATCATCAGCTTCCCCGATCGTTACCGGTCCGATCCGGCGGTCGACAGCGCGTGGTAACAGATGAACAAGGACCATCAGGTGAGGGTGAGCTACCATATCTGCCCGATCGACCGGCTAATCGTGCCTGAACCCTCACTCTCACGCCAGCTAAAACCCCTCACAGACGCACAACTTCCTGTGGACTCCTCGTGTAGATTACTACTAGGAGTAGTAGTATATTTTTACTGTACCGACCAACCGGATCGCAGCCTTACAGTTAAGTTTGTGCGCAGCAAGGCAAGCCATGTTGAGCCTGTGCACATCACACATGGATCCGGAGAGGTCCGATTCCAAAGATGAATGTATGTTTGAAGTACAGCAAAGGCAAGGCGTACGAGAGCAGTGCTCCTGCTGAAAGCCGTGCTGACAATTGGCTGCCTCCTTGTGAGGCTTGCTGGTGAAGCAAGGTTGGTTAGGTGTCATCGAGTGGGGAAGTGGGCAGCTCCCCCTTGGCCCCCCAATCCGGTAAAGGATCTATAAGACGGCCACCTCCCCGGGATGAAGAGAGAGTTGGAAGGACCGGAGAGAGGGTGCAGTGCAGGTTTGCCATGAGATGCTGCTCCACTGAAGGATCGCCAAGGGGGAGCTCAAACAAGGTATGGCTGGACTCGCTGCATGTATCTACCATCCTCCTGTCTTGTTTCTATTAGGAAACAAGTTACTCCTTCCGTTCCGATTTACTCGTCGTGGTTTTAGTTCAATCGGAACGGAGAGAGTAGTTCTGAAGTAAAATTTGGCCTCCCTTGTATAGACTATGCATCAGATACATCAGTACCACTATACTTAGCATGCATGTTGTCCAATCATTGATCCTTGTTGAGTTCTTGTCATCGATGGAATTATTGCAGGGGTGTGGCTGGGAGAGATGTTAAGGAGATGGGCAAGAAGGGAAGCGGCTGGATCACTGCACTCAAGAAGGCCTTCACCACAAACCCCAAGGACAAGCCAACAAATGTGAGCACTACTACTTTAATTAAACTCCCAAAAATGTGTCTGTACCTCCTGAAACGTGCAAAGGTTATCAGAGAAAACTAAAGGGCACGTGTGTTGGAGAAAAAGCTGGTTGCTCACCCAAACCCAAGCTTTGCACTGAAGCAATCGCTGCATGCAAGCTGTATGCGCGTGTAGACAGGCGCAGCAGTATCGTAGCGACAAATACACAGCCCTGTACAAAGCCACTTTATCCTGTTCGTTGATCTGCGCATGTGGTTTGTATTTTTACTGTGTTATTTTGCATCACATTTTCCATTCTTTCGTGCAGTTTTCTAGTACTTAGTACAAGTTTTAGCAGTGGTTACATGTAGGATTTTCGGGAAGATAGCTGAGCGGTGAGATGTATCCATGGCAGGTGCAGCTGGTAGCGCAGTACCCGCCGCAGCAGCCGCCGCCGCAGCCGCAGCAGCAGTACCGGGGGAGCGCGAGGGACAAGAAGCGATGGGGGTTCGGGCGGTCGCGGCAGCACGCCGACCCGGCGCCGCTGATGAGCATCCCGCTGTACCGGCAGCCGAGCAGCATCGAGAAGATCCTGGGCGACGCCGAGATGGAGCGGCAGTACTACGCCAGGCCGCCGGCGCAGTACCAGATCGCCCCCGCCAAGCCCACCACCGCCACCGTCGCCGCCACGGCGCCGGCCACGCCCGCGGCGCGCGAGCGGGAGCGGGAGTGGGGGCGTGATCGCGAGCGAGAGCGCGACGCCGGCGGCGACAAGCAGCAGCGGCAGCAGCAGCCTGCGGCGATGCTCCAGCTGCCTGCGCCGCCGTCCTCGCCGCCGCCGCTCATCCGGCGGTTCGACCACGATAGGGAGCAGCAGCAGAGGCTGCAGCGGCTGCAGCAGGGCAGGGCCGAGATGGCCGAGTGGCGGCAGCCGCAGCAGCATACCAGAACACGGGCGAGGCAGCGGGCCGTGGCGCCGGAGCAGGCCCGCGCGGCCGCGGTCGCGATCCAGGCCGCCTTCCGGGGCTACTCGGCGCGCCGGAGCTACCGGTCGCTGCGCGGCCTGATCCGGCTACAGGCGGTGGTGCGCGGCCCCAGCGTGCGGCGGCAGACGGCGCACGCGATGCGGTGCATGCAGACGCTGGTGCGCGTGCAGTCCCAGGTCCGCGCCAGCCGCGTGGAGGCCATGGAGCGGCGCAACGACCGCCACGGCGCCATGCTCCGGGACGGCCGCCGGTGGCGCTCCGGCTCGCAGGTACGTGCACCACTCTAGTTTCCTCAGGCTTACGTACTCGTGCATGCATGTGACCGGGGGGTGGGCTCTGGCCGTGCGACGTCGGTGCAGGACGGCGGCATGTGGGACGACAGCCTGCTGAGCCGGGACGAGGCGGACGCGAGGACGAAGCGCAAGGCGGAGGCCGTGATGAAGCGCGAGCGCGCCCTCGCCTACTCCTACTCCCACCAGGTACGTACGTACGTACTCTACGTATTATCTTCCAGAAAAATTATTATACACACAGCACGATCGATCACGTCCGTATCTGAATCTGAAACAAGCAAAAGGGACAGATGAATTCCTTCCGTCAGTCAAGCAGCGGGAGTAGTTACAGCATATCACGAGAGGGTGACCCAACATCTCTCCTCTTCATCCTCCCGATAGAGACCAGTAGGTGCGCAAAAATACTTTCGATCGGCCAGCTAAAAGCTAGCGAGCTACCGTATTTCTTTCCACTAAAAGCTGTAGTGTCATTGTTGGAGAGTTGGAATGTGTCTTCTCTGCGCCTGTCAGGTCGGTCTCGCACGGGCTGTTTATCCATTCTGTCAGTCCAACTGTAGTAGTTAGTGCATGTTCTGCATAAGGATGCTTGGACGAATCGTCTGAGAGGGACGTGTGGGTGATGAAAACTTTTCTTCTGCTTCGATTCGATGGTGTCGACGGGCCAACCAAAATCACACTGTCAACGTTCGTTTTTCTTGTCGAAGGTGTAGTGTCATTGTGTTGTTTATCTGAAACTAGGCATGCTGTCGTTGTCAGTAGGTCAGTAGGTACTTGGATAGTTTAATGTTTTGGGGGTTTCTCGTTTTTTAGCATCCTAATTTGTTCGTGTTGGTGTTCTCTTGGCACGTGGATGGATGTAGGTGATGAAGTCGACGCCGATGGCGGCCCACGCGATCCTGGCTGACCTCCAGTCGGGCCGGAACCCATGGTGGTGGTCGCCCATCGACCGCAGCAGCCACGAGCGCGAGTACCCCCGCCACGTCGAGCCCGCCGTCAGCCGGCCCAGGCCCACGCCCGCCGTCGCGCGCCGCGAGATGAACATGAGCATGATGACGCCGATGTCCACCGCCGGGCACCGCGAGATGAACATGAACATGATGACGCCCGTGTCGACGGCGACCGCGCACCGCCAGATGAGCATGCCGACGCCGATCTCGACGACGGCCGCGCACCGCCAGATGAGCATGGCGACGCCGATGACGACGGCCGCGAACACGCCGGCGCGGTCGGTGGTGTCGGCCTACTACAAGCAGCCCAGCAAGCCCTCGCGGGGCGCGCGAGGAGCGCCAGCGCCGCCGTCGAGCCACGGCGGAGGCGGCAGCGTCCGCGACGACGAGAGCCTGACGAGCTGCCCGGCGTTCGGCGTGCCTAACTACATGACGCCGACCATGTCGGCGTCCGCCAAGGCCCGGGCGCGCGCGCACCTGCTGCAGCAGCAGCTGGACAAGGAGCGGCGCGCGGCGGAGCAGAAGCCCAGGTTCTCGTTCGGGCTCGGGCAGAGCATCGGGAGCTGGGCCAAGAGCCCGTTCTGGCGGGGCGCCGGCGGCGGGGACCAGTCCGCCGCGCCGTCGCGAGTGGGCACGCCGGCGGCGTCCACGGCGGGCGGAGGGGGCCGGCACAAGCACCGGCGGTCCGTCAGCGGGCTCAGCGTCGACTCCACCGTGTCCATGCCGGCCGGCGTCGGCCGGCGGTCGTTCAAGTAGCTCGTGCAATCTCCTTTCGTTCTTCTCCATGATACTTTGATCTCTGCCCGGTGTAACAATCTGTATCGTGTGCTTGGTTTGGTCTTTGGTGCGTGTCTCTGTCGATCTTGCATGTCACATTCGTTTGATGATAGCAGTGTGATTCGTTGTCTTGGTTTACCCGCGGCTGCTGGTTTCCCTTTCGTGCGTGGCCTTCCGTTTTTGAGGGGCCGGTGGCTACGATGTAAATGCAGTACTGCGGAGAGTCCATGGAACATAGTTTGTGTGCATTCGTATGTGTTCCGGTTTGAGTGTCCTTGTCATAAGATCGTCCATGGTGGAAAGTTTGTGCCTCCAGATCGCCTGTCTCGACATAATTTCATCGGACGTCTCACCGTTTGCCGACCCTCTTTCAGAGAAGGTTGTTCTTCCGAGACAATGTCAGCAACAGCAATCAAGGCACGACCACGGCTGATGGTGAGGCGCAACGATAAGGCGTGAAGCGGTACAGGGCGACGCCAGCGGAGATGTGGCCGTCAGGCCAAAGAGAAGAGTCAACCGGCCGGCCTGCAGCTTTGGCCATGAGTAGGCCCAGTAATAGTAAACTACTCCCTTCGTTTCATAATATAAGAGTGTTTTTTTAGTGTCAAAAACGTTTTTATATTAGGGCTGTGCTAACATTAGCGACAGGTCCGGACGATTCCATCAACGTACGATCCACTTCTCTCGAAATGAGAATCGATCCACCGGATCTTCCTTTTTATTTGTAGAAGTGGGAATCGAATGCACCACTGCTTGGTAGACCACAATATTTTGCCAGTGATTAGCTTGAGGTTAGATAGTATTTGTACTGCTACTTATCGCGACCTGAAAACGAATCATTTGTCTTTCTTTCCTTCCTTATTTTTTATACTATATAGATGGCCCGGCTGCTCTATTAATAATTACAACATCATGGTAACTTTAACGTAGTAAAAATTGTTGACATATCCCGGTAACTTCATTGTAAATAGCTTGCCAGGGTAAATAAGTTTTTTTTCGAGGGTACAAAAGTTATCAACCCTCTGGTACGTAACTTATCATGCTTTTTATACATAAGTTACCAGGGAATATTTCAAATATTTTTTCTTGGGTCAGAGTTACGGTTGGGTGTTGTACAAAATTATTATGCTTTGCAGTATGTAAAAATCATGATATTTACATAAAAGTTATCAAGAGATGTTTTTAATAAATTTTTCCTAGGTCAATGTTATCATGGTGTTTGTACATAAGTTATCATGGCAACGGTACATAAATTATCATACTATTTACATAGTAATTATCAGGCTACGTTTCAAGCACCCCTCGTGTTGAAATATTACTGTCATATTTGTATCTAAATTATCAGGGCTGCAGTGCATAAATTATCATGTCATTTACACAACAGTTATCGGAGTTATGTTTTCGAAAGAGAAAATTTTTCAAAGTCAAAGTTATCAGCTATGTTGTGTGTATATTATCATGTTATTTGCACAGAAATTACCAGAGTATGATTTTCAACAACTTTTATCCTGGGGTCAAAGGAGTTACCACGGTGTTCGTATGTGGGTTATCAGCTTTGTTGTGTGTGTACTACCATCCTATTTACACATAATTTATCAGTGGTTGTTTTTCAATATTTTTCCTCGGGTCAAATGGTTATCATAGTGTTTGTACGTGAGTTATCAACTTTGTTGTGTCTATATTATCATGTTATTTACATACAAGTTACCGGACTAGATTATTTAACATTTTTTTTGGGTAGAAAGGTTACCATGGTGCTTATACACGAGTTATCATCTTTGTTTTGCTTATATTACCATGATATTTGCACAAAAGTTACCGGGGGTATTGTTTTCAACAACTTTCATTCTGGGGTTAAAAGAATTACCGTAGTGTTTGTATGTGAGTTATCGGCTCTATTGTGCGTATATTGCCATCATATTTACATAAAAGTTACCTGGGTTTGTTTTTCCACTAAAATTTTACCCAGTCAAAAGTTACCGGCTCTATTGTGTGACCATGGGTGTTTGTTATATTATCAGGTTGTGCATAAATTACTGTGTTATTTACACAAAATTGATGTGTATATTATCCTGTTGTTTAGATAGAAGTTATCAGGATATGTTTTAAAAAAAATCCGGGTCAAAGTTACCATGGTATTTGTATTGTAAGTTATCAGATCTACGATGCATAATCGTGCTATTTACCCATAAGTTATCACAACCTTTGCATCATAATTTACTAGGTTCGCATGCGTCAAATACCATGCTATTTACACACAAGTTCCCGGTTTTGTTGCGTGAGAGAAGCGGATCAAGTTGTTTTTTCTTTTCCACTCATTTAATAAGTATAAAATACATATAATCTACATAAAACCAGAAGAGAGAGTTAGCTCAGCTGGTAGTGTGCTATGGCCTCGACCAACAGGTTCTCAATTCAATTCTTGCTAGCGCCCTTTTTTTCTTTCCACGCGCGAGACTAGAAAAAAACCGGATTGAGCAATTGTTGCGCGGGAGATGAAAAGAACGGATCGAGCGACTGTTGCGCGGGACAAGCGGAACGAGCGGTCGCCAGGTTATTCACACATGTCGCTAACATCCAGTCGACTGGAGAATAGCTTTCTCGTTTATATTATGGGACGGTGGGAGTATATCTTAGACCCACCGACATCGGGATTAGGACAGTCACTTCGGACGTGACAACACCCGTCAATGTCTACATGTGCTTCCTAAACAGGAACCCTACAAGATGTGAAGGAAATATGCCCTAGAGATAATAATAAAATTATTATTTATTTTCGTATAACATGATAAATGTTTATTATTCATGCTAGAATTGCATTAACCGGAAACTTAGTACATGTGTGAATACATAGACAAAACATATAGTCCATAGTATGCCTCTACTTGACTAGCTCGTTAATCAAAGATGGTTATGTTTCCTAACCATAGACATGTGTTGTCATTTGATGAACGGGATCACATCATTAGACATCACCCATCCGTTAGCTTAGCATTATGATCGTTACAGTTTCATTGTTACGGCTTTCTTCATGACTTATACATGTTCCTCAGACTATGAGATTATGCAACTCTCGGATACTGGAGGAACACATTGTGTGCTATCAAACGTCACAACGTAACTGGGTGATTGTTGGGTTGGCATAGATCAACATTAGGATTTGTCACTCCATGTATCGGAGAGGTGTCTCTGGGCCCTCTCGGTAATGCTCATCACTATAAGCCTTGCAAGCATTGTGACTAATGAGTTAGTTGCGGGATGAAGCATTACGAAACGAGTAAAGAGACTTGCCGGTAACAAAATTGAAGTAGGTATGATGATACCGACGATCGATCTCGGGCAAGTAACATACCGAGGGAACAACGTATGTTGTTATGCGGTTCGGCCGATAAAGATCTTCGTAGAATATGTAGGAACCCATATGAGCATCCAGGTTCCGCTCTTGGTTATTGACCGAAGATGTGTCTCGGTCATGTTTACATAGTTCTCGAACCCATAGGGTCTGCACGCTTAACGTTCGATGACGATTGATATTATGAGTTTATGTGATTTGATGTACCAAAGGTTGTTCGGAGTCCCGCATGAGATCACGGACATGACGAGGAGTCTCGAAATGGTCGAGATGTAAAGATCGATATATTGGAAGGCTATATTCGGACATTGGAAAGGTTCCAAGTGATTCGGGTATTTTTCGGAGTACCGGGGAGTTACGGGAATTCACCGGGAGGAGTATATGGGCCTTATTGGGCCCTAGTGAAGAAAGAGGGCAGCAAGCAAGATGTGGGCCGCGCCCCCTAGTCCCAAACCGAATTGGTTTAGGGCTTGGGGGGCCGGCCCCCTCCTTCCTTCTCTCTTCCTCCTCTTTCCTCCCTTTTGCTACTAGGACTAGGAAAGGATGAAACCTACTCCTACTAGGAGTAGGAATCCTCCTCCCTTGGGCGCGCCTCCTCCTAGGCCGGCCCTCTCCTCCTCCCCTCCTTTATATACGGGGGAGGGGGACACCCCATAGACACACAAGTTGATTGTTTAGCCGTGTGCGGTGCCCCCCTCCATAGATTTCCACCTTGATCATATTGTTGCAGTGCTTAGGCGAAGCCCTGCGCCGGTAACTTCATCATCACCGTCACCATGCCGTTGTGCTGACGAAACTCTCCCTCGACCTCAGCTGGATCTAGAGTTCATGGGATGTCACCGAGATGAATGTGTGTAGATCACGAAGGTGCCGTACCTTCGGTGCTAGGATCAGTCAGACCATGAAGATGTACGACTACATCAACCGTGTTGTCATAACCCTTCCGCTTTCGGTCTACGAGGGTACATGGACAACACTCTCCCCTCTCGTTGCTATGCATCACCTATATAGATCTTGCGTCATCGTAGGAAGTTTTTTGAAATTACCGTGTTCCCCAACAGTGGCATCCGAGCCAGGTCTATGCGTAGATGTTATATGTACTAGTAGAACACAAAGAGTTGTGGGCGATAATAGTCATACTGCTTACCAGCATGTCATACTTTGATTTTGCGGTATTGTTGGATGAAGCGGCTTAGACCGACATTGCACGTATGCTTACGTGAGACTAGTTCTATCGACGTGCTTCGAACAGAGGTGGCTAGTGAGTGTCTATTTCTCCAACTTTAGTTGAATCGAGTGTGGCTACGCCCGATCCTTGTTGAAGGTTAAAACAACACACTTGACAAAAAATCGTTGTGGTTTTGATGCATAGGTAAGAACGGTTCTTGCTAGAAGCCCGTAGCAGCCACGTAAAACTTGCAACTAGGGCTGGAATTCGAGCCGAGTCGAGCCATCTCGGCTCGACTCGCTAGATCTCGTTTCGTTAACGAGCTAGCTCGACTCGACTCGTTACTATAACGAGCTCAAACCCAAGATTGGCTCGACTCATATAACTCGCGAGCTGGCTCGTTTAGCTTGTTAAGCTCGTTAAAGATATGAACATAAAACCCTCAAATATGATAAAAAT